GAAAACTGACTTGTTGGAGGAGCTGATAGGAAGTTAGGCTGGTGGTTGGTGTCAGATATTGAACTGAGAAAACAAACAAATCCCTGATGCCTCCTGACCTCCATGTGGTCTGGAAAAGTTTGCCTGGCTGACAAACAATGGTTGGCACACAGTCAGGGCAGCAGGCTGCCAAACTGGCAACCTCTCCACCCTCAACTCCTCCTGCTCCTGCATCAGTGTCCGATGCACATCGTGGCCAGTGCACACATCCTGGCTTTGTGGGCCAGGAATGCCAAGAATCCAGACTACTGCTCACCTCCCTGCTGCTGCCCAGCAAGGTGCTTCCCCCCCCCTCCTCTTTCCCATTGCTGCTCAGCGTCCCAGTTGTTTTACAAGCCAGCTGGCCGAGCTGTCTGGGTGGCTGCTTGCATAAGTCGGGACACTGTGTTTGATTTGATGTTGCACACAGTAACATGACTGCTTCAGTCTGAAGCTGCAATGCCTGCTGTTAGGAAGAGAGCTGAAGGCCACAGGCTGGCTCACTGCAGCATGCTCAGATTTGATGAAGCTCTCAGGGTGGGCTGTGGGAGGCTTGGGTGAGTCTTCAAATCACGTCTGAATGTGAAATCTTTGACACCTTGAAATGTCTTGGTCATTTCAGTAAACAGAATTACAAGATAAGTGAAGCAGTAAAATATATTTGCATGTATAACTATAATATAGGAGCTGCAGTGGACTGTGCTAGTTTAAGAATGAAAGCATCCTCCAAAGATGACATAAACTTCATAGGCATGTGGAGTATTAGCAGATGGAAGAGTGATAACTGCCAGCAAGCAGCTGCACTGAGTGACAGTTCATGGCTGTTTCATGTGGATGTGATCAGGCTGGGTCACAGTTCAGGTGTCTGGCACCAGGGTCAAAGCTGGTCCTGAGACACCTGGACCTCCTTCCTGAGAGCAGGAGTGAAAATAGTCCACTGCAGGAATGAAAGGAGTCTTTGTGGATGTTTCAGCAGCCTTTCTTCTCCATGTTCAATATTGCAAGTACAGTGGGG